GCCTGAAGCCAAATCTGAACAATGCTAGGCTTAATCTATAGCAGAAATATCCGCCTATTTGGGTCATTTTTCACTTGTTTAGGGGGGAGGCAGTGGAAAAATCTCTGATCTGTTGCATTTTGTTGATTGCTCATAGCAACCGTAAAGCTCAGCATTGCTGCCCTGATGGTGGCACAGTGAAGTAGGTAGTGCCTAGGTGTTTGCCAGGGAGCAGGGTAAAAAATATCTGGCTCATTAATTGTGATTTTAAGCAGTGAACACAATGTGGCAATCTGCAATCTGGTCCTAGTACTGCCTCAGATGGTTTTGGTTCTCTAAAGCTCTTTCATCCATCATTTTGTTAATGAAGACATGGCAATAATGAACACATTATTTTTGGTACTTTGACGGAATGTTTTCCTCTCCACTTCTTCTGGATTGCTGATGATCTGTAAATGATTTGTTTTCCATTTAACACCTACTTCTGGGACTTCTTTGGCAGTACACTTAATTTCATTAAGTAAAATTTTTAAGCTTCATACTTAAATAATAAAATCTATTTATTTATTTACTGAAGGATTGAGTAGATTTTGAAGGTGCTGGGCTATAGACTTTTTTAACCTTGGCACTTTTAAGCAATATGATAGCAGATGCAATACATGAACAGGGTGGCTGGTTACAGCCTTTGTAAGTGTAGAGAATCTCCAGCTTTATATCGTTAGCAAGCAGCTATTGTCAAGACAATAATCACCAAATCTAATTCTGTGTGATTTTGCTTGCTGCTGACTGCTAACGTCACAACAATGCATTTAATAGCATATTTCAGCTAACATTCAAAATTGGGTATTGGCTGCCTCAAGCGTAGTTTAGGTTGACTATGACATTCTTAGTTTTCATGGCCTACATCTAACAGCTGGCATGAAGAATGCCTGCCCATAGGTGACACTACAGCTTGATGGCTGGGACATTCTCCCAGAAGGTGTCAGGCAGAAGTTGGAGCTGAAATGCTTGAGGACAGACTTGAGACCAGAGTAACTGCTTCACTCATCCAGAGACACAAAAAAAAAACCCAGAACTTCCTTGTGTTTCAAACAGAAAACCATAATGAAAGTAATGTTTGTGCTCAACAGAGTATAGTAAGTAGGTATGTGAGTAGCAGGCTTTGTACCAGCAGCTGGGCTGGGTTCCTGTCAGTTCTGAGAAAAACAGGGCACTCTACAGTCCTAACACATGAGGAACTGTGGGGGCCTAGCAAAAGATTTTCTACTGGCCTGACATGTCCTTTTCTACCACACACAAAGGCACTCAATATGTATTGATGTGAATTAGACTTAGTGATCTTAAAGGTCTTTTCCAACCTCGTTGACTCTATGAGTCTAATACACTAATGTTTGGAACAGCATACACAAGTTTTACTCTATGAAGTGATTAAAAAAAATATAAAAGCCTAAGTGTGCTAAAAGCTTGTCACGTAATAAACATCCATCTCCTGAAAAGCAGCAGGAGTCATGCCTGGTCAGAGTGCCACAAACCCTTCTTTGCTCTTGGAGTATGATAGAGGCTGTGTTACAATGCTTGTCCAATGGATGTCCTGAGCATCTGGGCTCTGCAGTCAACCAACAGGTCATATATAGATGCACCAGCCGAGGTTATCAACAGGTTAAGTGAAGCAGGATTTACTAATAATCTGAACAGTATTTCACCTTCTCTGTAAATTTTGGGCACTAGGAAAATTTCAAAGTTTCAGTAGACGTGGACAGGAATCTGGTAATTTTAGGGATTCTTTGAATAAGCTGACTGCTAATTGCCATATGGAAAATAAAAATCAAGTTCCCAGATGCCCTCATTAGGTCTGTGACAGGATGGTCTCTTTGGTGGTCTCAGCTACACCTTTAGTGCTTAAACTATACCCCCACTTTTGTTTAATCTCTATTATTAAGTTGTTCTACTCTATAATCCTACTTGTTCTTTACAGCCGGTTGCTAAAAACACAGCTCTAAAAACATCAGACTGAATCATAACAACTTACATTGTCATAGTAGCCACATAAAATGCAACACAGAACATAAAGCTAAGACAGGCAGACAGTTATATCCCAAAGAAAAATATGGGCTTTTCCTTCGCACACATGCTGACAGTGACAAGGCCAATCTCGTCTTCTGTGTGAATCTTTGTCTTCATTTGATGCTTAACCTTTGAAGAGTTAAAATTTGTCACTGGCAGTGGCACGATAAATACAGCTGACTAAGTGACTCTTTCTGCTGTTTCTTGGTGTAGTAAGTGCTTATAAGGCTTTCTTACCAATTAAATTCTACTCTTAAGCATAGAACTTCAACTTTCATACTTTAAGTTCAAATTCCATCTACAAAGTATGTACTTTTATTACTGAAACATGCAAAAAGCTGCCAGCTTCTATTCTTAGCTTACTAAGATAAGTAGGTCTGAAGGGACCTCCATGACAAAATAGCCAAAAAGTAAAAAAAGAAAAACACCCCAACTACCAATATTTTTATTATGACAGTGACAGAATGAAATCTCTTTAATGCTTGTTTTCAAGCTCCAGTGTGTTGACATATCTTTCAGCTAACACAAAAAGCATTATCTTCAGGAACAAATTCCTTCCTAGCTCATTACAAGAACTGTTTATCACTCCTAATCATCTTCTGATCTATTGTGTAGTCACACAGCAGTACCTTTGTCTCACCTCTGTATCAGCTACACATTACACTTGACCTTCCCATTACATGATCGTTTCCAATTACTGCATGGATGTAAATTAAGCTTTGGCTACCCCACAGCAGAAACACCTAGATGCATTAGGTTCCATGGAAGAGAGCCAGAAAAGATTAAGCAGGCAAGGGAAGATTCTTAAGAGAGCTAGCTAAAACCAGCAAGACAGCATGGGAAAAGTCAGTCCCAGAAGATGAACTATTAAGATGTTCAGTTTGACATGCATTTCCTTAGCAAGTCAGTCCTGATGGAATGGGTAAAGTCCTGAGATAGTGCTTGCTTATTCTTTAAAATGAAAATTACACAATAATGAAGCTTAACAAACAAAACTGCACAGAACAAGATTTAAAGTCAAAGGTAAGACCGCCATCAGTGCAAGCAATCACATTAAGGAGAAAAAGTACTGTTAAATGGGATGGCAGGGGAGTTGCAGGGAAAGCTGTACAACTGCTTTTCACAGAGTTCTTTAAAAAGATCAGCTGCGTTATCTAGAATGGATGTCAATGAGTGGGTGAGGACAGATACACTCAACACAAGTAAAACCCAGACACTATTAAGCCATCCTTACAGGCAATCATTAAATAAGACCCTATGCCACCCCCCAAATGGCATTCTCACAGCATGTCCTACTATAGATTAAGGAGCACTTAAATGGAAACAAAAGGAAATACCTTCTCTTACTGAGGCATCTTTGGTTTCTTTTGTTTAAAACTGCAAATCCAGCAAGGATACCACCCTATTGGTATGAGCTGAAAGACATAACTTGCTTGTACATCCTGAGGATGCCTGGGAAAAGCTGTACAGGCTTTCAGGACATGGACCTGAAGTTTAAATCTCAATTTAGGCAACATACAAAGTGTCTTGTTTTTGCAGTACTCAAAGGATGACAGTACACATTAGATCACCTGTGTGTATTGAAAACTTCCTATGCTATGTTAAAATACAATTAAAGCCGTAGTTTAAGTGAGGAAAAAAATAAACTCACACTAAGTTCTGAAGTCATATGTGTTGGAACAAGGCCCACTGATTTGCACCTATAAGCACATCAAGAGTATTACACAAGACAATAAGCACTTGATAGTAATACAGGCCTTAAGGTTTTTTTTGAAATAGTCTCAAAGCTAGAGAAGTCTGGAAACATTTGTCCTCCTCTTTGCCTCCCCTAAAGGGCATTTAACAAGAACAGAATTAGCAAACAACTCAAGCAAACAACACTAATTTTTATTTGTGTCACAATACAGTCACCATAAACTTAAGAGCTGAACGTAAGACTTGCATAGAGTTTTTTTAAATTATGTTTTTTTCCTCTTTAGGCCAAAGACTCTCCATTTACTGTTTGGCACAAAGATAGCCAGCAAGTTTCACTGTACATCTGTAACTCTTAAGAAAAAAGAAAGAGAACCACATATTTGGTTTATCTAGTAAGCAAAGCTAATACACAGCTGTGATTTTTTTCCACTCAGATTCTGGAAGTCTTCTGGGAAAGACTTATTTACTTTGGTTAAGAACTTACGAATCAAAAGCTTAAGTACGATTCTTTTGCAGAATTACATTCTTGGAAATACATATGGTATTGTGAGTCACGTCCCTCTGACAGAAGGCACAATTTACGAAAAGAACATACATTAAAAAAGCCAAACCCGAAGCCAGTTCTGAAAAGAATGACACCCACTAACATTGGTGAATTATCTTTTTTTTTTTTTTTTTTTTAAATCTGGGCAAGACCCCCTCTTATATTTTCTCTCCTCCTCCCCAGTATCTGCAAAGTAACACCAATATTCATAAAAATAATAACTTTTCTGTGAACAGTTATAAGAAAGAGAAAATGAGCCAGCAGTTTTCTGCTGGTGCAATTACTTTACAAACTAGATGTGAGAGTACTTACTATCCCTCAGAACTCATGTGTCAACAAGCAAACAATTACAGGGAACTTTATTTTTTTAAGCTACATTCTCCCCGCATACTTGAAGTCTAGTGAGCAAAACTGTATGAGGTTGTAAAGCTGATCATTTTGTCTAAAGTGCTTAATGAAAGCAGGGAAACTATGAAAATGATAAATTAGTGAAGCCAAAAAGTGGAAGAGTTACATTTATAATACAAGAAAAATTGGAGGATTTTCACATTTTCTTCTTCCATTAGACAAGATACAGCAAAAAGATACTTCTTGGTGAAGAGCTCCCTTAAGGTGTATATAGTTCATAACAGTTTTTTTTTTTCTTACATTTCTGGGACACAAAGTCATTTGACATAAGACTCAAACAACATTCCAAAAAAGAAAGTATAATTATGTTTAAGAAATTAAGATTACATAGCAAGTTTTAGTTATTCAAAACGAAAAATCTTTGGGAAACTGCTATTTAACACTTTTCAATAACTTTAAATGCCCTGATACTATATATTTTACAGTAGAAATGCGAGAGCCTTTGGAACACAGCAATGCTTGGTTCTGTGCATGTCTTCTCTTAAGACATCATCTTTTTCTTACATTCCACAGAGCAAAAGACCATCCCCTCCACTGGCATGAACTTCTGGCCAATTAGACACTTGCTGCAACAGGAACACAAGAAGCATTCTTGTGTAGCATGCCAGTTGAAGTTGTTGTATGTCACACGCTGAACTTCTGGATCTATAGCGTTATGACAGCCTTGGCAGATCTGTTCAGGAAAAAAACAACACTTAAATGAAGCACACACATGCTCTTCACAGTCTCATAAAAGCTGGACTTCTTAAGTGTTTTTGGAGAAGAGAGATGGATGTTCAAAGAAGCCTTTGAACTAAGTTTTTTAATTCTATTTTTAAAACAGAGTTTCTGATCAGAATGCAGCTAAGGATATAAAAAAAAAAAATAGTAATAAAATGCACACAAGAAGTTAGTTGCTTCTGGGACTAAACATAGAATCATAGAATGGTTTGGGTTGGAAAGGACCTTAAGATCATCTAGTTGCAACCCCCTGCCATGAGCAGGGACACCTCGCACTAAACCATTTTGCCCAAGGCTCTGTCCAACTTGGCCTTGAACATTGCCAGGGTTGGAGCATTTATATCATGGTTATGATTTCCCAGTGCCCAAATAGTGATAAAAACTTGTCATGCCAAACAGCACAGATTTCCATATATTAACCCATACATTTGAAGAGATAACAAATCTTCCTGTGCACTGGCAGCTGTAAAGCAATGCTAAAAAACAGTTCCTAGAAAGTCTTGGATGTCATTAATCTTAAAATCTGGTTGTCAAAAATTGTTTATACATCAATGTTTAAGAGAATGTTAATTTTAATTTAACATTTTAAGGGGGGGGGGGAGCCTCTCCAAGAGATAATCCTCCTACCCACCTCAGAGGATTATTAGCTGTCGGCTAGAGATAATAGTTTATCCCTCCATTGGCTATATAAACATTCTAGATGCACATTAGACTGAACTCCCAACTAATAGCTAGTTAATTGGTAGATATGAGTGGACCATTGTCTCAGATTAGAGTTCTTTGCATAACTAGGAATCAAGAACCGCCATCCTTACCCAAACTTCTAGCTTGACTCTGGCATTCACTCTCCTTTATAATTCAGTTGTAAGAACAAAGAAACAAAGTACGTAGGCAGCAGTTGCCACTACAGGCTTTCAGCAGACCAGCTGAAGTTGAATCCCACTGGTCAGAATGAACTACAACTGACATGAACTGAATGTTTAGCAGCATTACTCACCTTCACATACTTTACTCCTCCCATTACAAAATCCTGCTTCACCACTAGAAAAGTTTAAGGTATTTTCAGAACAGCCTCCCCCTCACCCACCCTGCCAGTGGCTTTTGTTCAAGTTTCTGAATTGACAAAACACTTGTCTGCTTTTAAGGTTTTTGTCTGTATGTGGTTTTGGGGTTTTTTTGTTCCCCACCCCCACCCCCCCCAAAGGGGAAAAAGACAATTGGCTTGAGCCTAAATTTGCATTCAATTTATATTCTTCAGATACTCCCACACTGGGGGCAAGCAGGAGCTTCAAGCTCCATAGATGTATGCTCCCCTGCCCTCACAGCACCAGCACGTCTGTACAGATCTTACCGCAGCATGGTTCTTCACATAGCAGGGTTTGCAGACTGGCTTGTCGTTCACCATTACATAGATTTCCCCAGCCAAAACACAATCACAATCAAAACAGCAGAAGTGTTTCAGATGCCAGTTCTGACCTTCTGCTTGAGTATATTCATTGCTGAATATTAGCTATGAGGAAGATATAAACAAGTATTAATACATGCATTTGAATAGTATTTCTTTAATAAAACTACCCTCAGGATGTTTCAGAATTTCCAAGGAGCTCCTGGCAATTCCACCTTCTCAAATTATTTCAATAACAAAAACAAAAGCATTCACTCGTTTGACGGTTTCCCAAAAGCCTAGGTTTCATTTAGTAAGAGCCAACAAATGCCGAAGACACCAGGCCCGCTGTTCTGTGTATGCCGCACAAGGTGTAATTTGGTAAAGTGCTCCCCCTAGTGCCCTTTGTTAGGAAAAAGCTGCATAACAGAGCGCAGAAGAATTTGCACTTACGTATATTACTCCTATGTCCCCGTGGACCACATAGAATCCCCACGAAAGCCAAAATAAACTGGGTCTTCCCGAGTGTGGTGTGTCTATATCAGTTTTAGTTCCTTGCAAGTACAATCAGCTAAAACCAGTAAAGGCACATGGTCTCCCTACACTGAAATATTTTCCTAGAAGTCATACTTCTCAGGGGAGCAAACTTGTATGCTAAAACAAAAGACTAGGATATTTCCTACCTCATCACATCCAGCACAGCGGGGTTTTTCACTATCACAATAATGTCTTCCACAGTACAGATTACCATTCTTCCAGAAATAGATCATGTCTACTAGAAGTTCACTGCAGGTGCAACAGACAAAACAAGCTGGGTGCCACAATTTGTCATATCCAGCACGTTCTGCGTAGACAGCTGGGTCACCTTCTTTCATGATCAGTTTGCAGCGATAGCAGGACTGGAAAGATGTTGATACCAAGTTAAACCTTTGAAGAGGTACATTTATAGCAGTTACATGTTTCTAACATATTTAATAATTTTACCTTCCCAGACTGAAATTAAAGCATTAATTTACTCCTGTGATCAGGTGGTAGTGTGACATGATGCCACAGTACAGGTTTATCTAAGTAATTCATGATGATGCATGTTCTACTGACATAGCACTAGTGCTTCTTAAATAGATTATTGAAATTTCCCATACTCACATTCTTGCAACTACAGTCCAATTCTTAAGAAGCCCAGGCAATTAAAATTCATGTTATAGTCTATAAGCCTTACAGACTCAAGAATAAGGAGAGAATAATAAGGAGCCTCCATCTACACTATCACTAGAACACATGACAAGAAAATGGCTGTACTTGTAGATCATGAGAAGATCAAAACGTAACTGCATCACTGGTGATACAAAAAAGAATTGTGAGTATTTCAAACTCATTCTATGTAACACTGCGTTGTAGGGATGCTAGTCACTTGTGGCTGTTGTCCAACAGTCTGTGAGCAACAATCTTGGGATGGGAACACTGAGTATGGAAAAGGGACTACAAAGTTTATGAACACAGCTACACTACAAAAAATTCCAAAAAGTTCACAGTCAGTCTTCTGCCCTACTCCTGCTTACAGAGAGGGTTTTGTCATCAAGTCAAAAAACACAGGTGGAAAAACTGTTATCTACAGTTTAATCACCAACTTGGCATTTCCTGAACTCCAGTTGGTCTGTGGGCTCAGTTGAACATCCTGGGAAGGTTTTCCTCTGTGATTCACATCACTACAAGCCCAGCACAAATGGCTTTTTTAACAGCATATGAGAGAAAAAAAAAAAAAGAAAAAAGAGAGAGAGAAGAAAAGAATACATATAAAGGTTCTCAGTGGTAAGGTGGTGAAGGTGTACTGATCAGATCCCCACACTTGTTTCAGACAAGCAATTTCAGAAGATACATAGAAAGACATCAGATGGGGAGGAAGAACAGCTTGGAACAAAATGAAAGGAGAACTAATGAAAGGGAAAATGCAAATATATATATGCATATAAAGCTTTTTGTCTCCCTTTGTAACTTCAACCTCACACTCCATGAGGAGCCAGCTGGGAGGCTTAGTAGCTGTACAGACCCAGATGAGGGCAAGTTGATTCATTTACCTGCCATTTGCAACACCCCCAGTCTTGGTGGTTCAAAGGTGCATAAAGAGCCTTGCTTCTTTACAAGAAGAAACTATGCTGAATATAAATTTTTCTGTTATTCAGCTTTTGTTCGTTTTAAACACAGCAGCAATTATTACAAGTATATTTACAATAATAGTGGAGACCTGGTTGTTCCTGGTGGTGGTGGGTTGGTTTGTTTTTAAAACTAGGTTTAAAAGACTTGCAATCTATTTCTATAACAAAAATGTTTTTTTTCCAAGAGATTGCTACCACAGCTACAGGAATACATGCTTCAGACTCAGTCTACAAGAATGTACAAGAAAATCTGGAGAGCAAAGATGCAGAACTAATGGATAGAAAACAGTGTAGACAAGAATGGCAATTCTTCTGCAAGTTATTTAAGGGCTCTTTTCTGTATTGGTTTATTTTGAACTGTTTAAAAAAAAAAGTCAATGCTACAGTATATAGCTGAGACTAAGTCACATTGCAGAAATCAGACAAAATACTTCAACGTATCTAAATCCTGATTGTGCCCAGCATAAACTCAAAAGCTAACAACAGATAAACATCTCAAATGTTCACTTGCACTATTAAACACTTCTAAGCCTCTAATTCATCACAGTGATGAGATATGCCTGGCCTAAAAAGCAGAGGTATACTCAGGTGCTTGAGTAAGAAAAGTTTGGAAGTGATAAGTAGGTGTAATGTAGAAGTGAAGCATATTTTGAAACGATTACTCAAGAGGACAGAATGCCTCCTGCTCTTGACTTGAGGTAGCCCAAGCCAGTTGGCCAGCAGGGTACAGTGCAAGGTTAAAACAAAATGACAGCAACCTAATCAAGCCAGGATGAAGTAAATGTTTAGTATCTTAGAATCTCCATGACAAGATAACAGCAAAACCAGAATAATTGATTTTAGAAAGTAACTACCGATAACCAAATGGCACAGCATAACTCTGATTAAAATGAGCATGTTCAAAGCTAAAACTTAAAAGTTGATTTTACATTCCCCATATGAATTACACCAGAAGTAATACACTGTCATTTAAAAAAAAAAAAAAAAAACAAACACAACCCAAAAACAAAACACAAAACACACACCACCAAAAAAAAAAAAAAGTACCAAGAAGCAGCACTCCACACCCTCCAACAACATTGAATACCCTAGTCTACAACCATGTTAACAAGCAAATTTTTATCTCAATCTAGAACTTCTACATTCATTTTCTGTAAGTAACCTGGAGACAAATAATTTTTTTGACTTTATATATAATAGCAACATTTCTAGAAATCAAGTTGTAGGAGCTTTTGCCACTCTAAATTGAGTGTCTACCTTCACTAAACTAATATAGTGTTACTTCAGTAATCCTACATCTATTTCCTATTTACAACTGGTAGCTGAGACATGCACTACAGAAGCTAGCAAGTTATGTCAGAAATGCTTTAAGGCTGTAGTTATAGAAATATCAATGAAGACTGGGCAATTTTACATCTTATTTTTTGTTTAGCTATTACAAGGCAGAAATCAGATGCCAAAGACTAACATAGATAAGAATATGAAATGAATATGAAAAAGCAGCTAGTCAAAACAGCTGTTATATGGCTTGGCTTGTTGGACATGGAGAGGTGTTACTTTATATTACTACTTAGTTTCATCTAAGTTTAAACACAATTTGTCAAGTGAGTAATTTTGGTGCTCTTCCAAGTAAGAGGAGAAAACAAGCTTCTCAAATTAAACTAAATTCTTCAAGAGGAGGAAAGTGCAGCAATTAGTCTGTAAGACTACCTAAGTTTCTTGATTATTATTCTGCAAAAGCCACCCTGCTATACAACATCTCCAAGCAAGCATATTTTTGCAATGAAGATGAAAAGGTCATCTAGGAAGTTATTTTCTACAATATACTAAATACAGTCAGAGACTAGGGTCCTGTGCAGGCATTCAGGTTTCCCAGTTCCTTCTTTCCCTCTCCAGATTTCCAGCATTCCAAGTTCACAAACAAGTTAACTGGATTTAAACGACCAGAGAAAACAGTCTGATAGTAATATACCTTCTTGTTTTACCTTTCCTTTTTTATACTTACATACTGAGATGCCTTCTGATCAGGGGACTTGTCCTCCATTGCTCCTACAGCAGCTGAGGTGCCTCTGTCACCATTGTTCAAATTATTCTTGTCAGCAGCTCTTGTTTCTACCTCACCAGGGAGCTTCACATCTCCTACGCCAAGTGCCTCATTTTTGTATTTCTTCACAAATTGTTCCATCTGCTTAACTTCATTGGGAGAGAGCTCGTGGCATTTTGAAGGATCCTGATCATGAGCAGGCAGCTGCTTAGCCAACTGCTTCTTCCTATATTGTGCGCCTTCTGAGCCAGCGACAGGCTGCTTCTCCTTTGGTAGCATCTGCATATACTGTCTAGCCTGAACCAGAAGGAATTAGATATTAGATGCCACTTCAACTATAGACCCATCCTTTTAAGCAAACATGTGACTAAAATCATTTCTTCTGTTGTTAGCGACAGTCAAATTTGTCAAAAACAAGGTTCTTTCCATAAACATTAAGCTCCCAAAACACAGTAGACAGAGATAAAATACAGCAGATGCATTAACTGGCTTTTTCCCCAGAGTAAGAGACAGGCTTTCTTTTAAGCATTTTACAACATGCAGAACAGAGCTATTACTTCTGTGAGTAAATAACATTTACACAGCACCTTGTCTCTTCAAAGCTATCTAAAGCTACCAATTATCAGTATAGCTTTAAAAAAAGTGAAGCTGAAATAGTCTGCCTTGGGCACACAGCCCATTGAAGAAATAATTCTACCTAGATAAAGAAAACCACTCCAGTTTTAATAAAGCAAGGACAAGACTAAAAATTAAAGTGGTAACTGAATGTTAAGTAACCATTGATTTAGATGAACAAAGTTTGATTAATTCACTGAAAAAGGATATTTTGAGATGTAGGTCAGAGGTAATGTAATTCCAGCATGAATCACACAACACTGTAGTACAGTAAATTAGCAATCAAAGTTTGAAAAGTGAAACAAAATCCTCAGAAGGCTATCTACCATCTCATCTACTTCAGCTGAAAATATACGGGAAGACAGTTGATCTTTTAGATGTCAGCACTGATCTTGTTCTTACCATATACAGTAAAAGCTATACGCAAGACTGAGTGTTTCCCTTAGCTTTAAACAATGACATAAATTGTTGTGGGGTTAGTTTGCTGCGTGGCGTGTTCCCCGTCCCCCCACCCTTTGCTTCTTCTTTTAAGCCCAAACTCCATGCAAATCTTTTAAGTTTACTAAAAGAAAAAAAAAAAAAAAAAAAAGGGAAAAAAGCAGGTTAGAGAAATTGGGTTCTAGGGGCTTAATAGATAACACTTAATCCCATCTACAAGGAAGACAACTACAAGAGGCGAATTTATCCTTCCAGCAGGCTCTACTTCTCTCTATCTTCCATCAGCTCCTGCCTTGAATATGAAGAAGTGACTTTGACTTACAAGTGTCTGATTCTGAACAGGAGGGGCCCACTCATAAGTCACAGTATTGATGGATACGTTCTTCTTGGCTGGCACTGGGTTAGTCAGTATCATTACATTGCGTTTGTACATGGGTATGCCATCATTCTTCAGCTTTGCAATAAGGGTTGTGTACTTTGTATCTTCAAAGAGTTTCCCCACTTTCCGATCTTCCTCATTGCTCGTGAGGACATCATGCTCTTCCTGTCCACATTTGCAGTTGCGGCATATTTTTCTGAAATTTATGGAAACAGCAACAAAGTTACAGTCTCAGCTGAAAATTACATCTGACAACAGCTGCACGTGTAGTAACAACATCACTAGCAACCCAAAGCCTTGTTTTCAGTGCTTTCATTAGAGAACATACAAGTTATTCTGCAATGTGTCAAACTCTTCTTGAAGATACTCTTTACTTCTCATGATCTATTATTTACATCTTTGTTCACAGGGATTGCAGTCAGATCCAGTCAGCTACGCTAATGCATTTTGAACATGATGCTATACCATTCCTTCAGTTATATCTCAGTACTGATCACACACATACTTGTCCATTATCACCCACCTACCAGATTTATTATGGGTAGTCACACATAAGTTAACTTAAATGCATCAACATTACACCACTCCCCCAACAATCATTTATTTGGACTTTTATTTTTTTCAGATTCTCTTTATATGCTCAGTTACACACACTACTATTTTCTTCATATTCACTGTATGCATGATATTTGGTTATCGCGGGGTTGCTATCAAGTTGAAACAAATATTCCCTGGAAAGGAAAAAAAAAAATGCATACAGCCATATATACAGTGTAGTTGCACCAAGATCTGTTCAAAGTTCAGCGTTTAATACAGAAGATGAAAAAAAGTGGAAAGCTTATGTGGATAAAGCCTTTCAGATGGCTCTGAACCCAGTCAGAGGTACTCTGGCACACACTGTAGGTGAATTTTCACAGATAATATCCTTAAAAGGTAGAAGGCTTTACTTACTTAGATATTAATGGTATTTTTTCATATATAACACATTTGAACTCATTTGAATAAGGGATATTAGATAGCAATTTATTATGTTAAGCATAATTAAACAATTCACATATAATAAACAGAAAGTTGGATTAGACAAGCTAGTTTACTATTTCTTAACGGCTTCCCTAGAACTTTAGTTCAAAACCGTCAACCACAGTACATGCAAATTAGTGAAGCTGGATATAACTAAAGGTTCTTAGTATAGCCTAACAAAACAGATCAACCTTCTGGATCTCTAGAGTTTGAAGAGGAATGAGTAAGATTTTATCCCGTTATTTATCCTCCACATAGCACATAGCATAAACCTGCTACCTACAAACTGCTTCTCAACCCTGCTTGCCAAAGCCCATAGAACTCTAACATTGTTCTACATCTTGCTTTCTAAAGTCTTGAAGACAAAACACATACCTTAAGACACCTAACAGGTACATGACAAGTACACGCTGCGACTATAGCAGGCAAATTAAGTGATAGTAAAGGAAGTATGGAGGACCTGCATATACCTCACCATGAAAGCAGTACACAGCCAGTCTCAAAGATAAACTGGTATACATATGTAGTGTGCATGATGTGGGGTACTATCATTTCAGTGTGTGTGGTGGATGCTGCTTTGGTCATGTGATTATACAGCAACCATAAGTTATAGTAACCTAAGCTATGAAGCCCACCCCAAATAAAAATAGCTAACTCTGCTATAGATATAAACCACTCTATAATAACAAACAAAATAAGAGTGTTAAGCAGTACAGACTCCGCTTTGCGACACACAAACCTAAAGAGCTCAGTAACTGAAGCGTGGGCTGTATGACAGCTTGCATGACTTCCAACTCATTTCCGCAACAGGAAAGACAGAAATTCAAATCTGATACTTATCTGGATACCTTAAACGTTAAGCACTTCAAAATCTTACAGTTTACCAAAACATTCACGCATGAACTAGCATTGCCCATTAAGCCTAAATGCTGTACTGTGCATCTCAAGCACTCACATCAAATTTTTCAAGATCTTTGGTATCAGTCTAGATGAATCCTTTACCTAGCTAATACTTAAGAGACTATTTAATACACTAATAAAGCAATTTATATTCACTTTGCTTATCTTTTAAGGTGTGCATATGATTATACCTTGTTAACAACTCACAGTTATGTCTTGAGATTTAATATGTGGTGACAGAATTAGACTTAATTTTTGCAGGTTTAGTTCATTATTACATCACAGTCATCATGTAATACTATGATGACCACTATGCAGCTACATGCTTCATAGCATGTGTATCTTGAATTCCAACAGTTCGTCCGTTTGAACAATAACTTCCCAGATATTTTAATCATTTTTACAGCTTAAGTCTTTAGCAATAATAAGCCCCAGTTTTAGTATTGTCTCTTGACAGGATGCAATCTAATAATATTGGTGAATGAACATGCTCAAGTAACCTGCTCAGACTCATGCAAGTAAAGTGTAGTCTTGCTGTTCAGAACTGCTCTGCTTGCAAAACAGATATCAGCAAGAACAACTCGTTTTGTTGTGGTCAAGAGCAGCATGACAGTTTGTGCAGCTCTCCCCACTCTGTACAACATCCAACTGCAGTGAAGCAGCATTGACAGCCTGCTAAGGCTAGATCACCGGCAACAAGCTGTGCTGGAATTCTTTCCCTGAGACTTTCACACACACTGGAAAAGCCACAAGAGCACCTTAATTTTGCTCATGCTACATCATGAAATTGCTTATCTATTTTCCAGTAGTATTCTCTTAGAATGCAGAACAGCTTTGAGATCCCATTTGTGTTTCCACCCTGATGCATTTGCTTTTATCATCCTCAGTCTCACCTTGAAGGTTTAACATGTTTCACTAATTTCACTATCTGCGAGAGATTTTTTCTTGTCCTAAGAAACAGATGAACAGATGTATGCTTGTAGTCCTTTGCAGCTAATTTGTCCTTAGGTGCTTTCTGGGTTCCACTGCAAAAGCTGGCATAGAACTACTGTGCTTTAAAACTGCACTGAAAAGAATGAGGTACTCACTAACCTCCCCCCACTCCAAACTTAAATAAGAATTTGAGTGTGTACATTTCAGTCTGACAATATCTCCTCGCTCTTTAAGATTAAGTGAATGACTCTGTGGCTACATAGTCTTTGCAAGAAGCTGTTACAGGGACCATGTTACAGAATTACAGGTGTAGCGGCCCTGGTATTGGAGCTTGTGGATCGTTGGGGCTACAGGACTGACGGACAGCGGCAGA